GATGTTAAGGGAGAAGTAGCTGTATTGTACAAATCATTACTTATTGACTTAACAAATATGTTTGTTTCAACAAGAACTCAAACGTTAATATCTCGTCAGATATTTATTCTTTAAAAGTGATTTCGGTTGAAATAATTTGAAAGATCTAATAGGTTTTTATCCATGTTAATTATTTAAAAATTTAATTCAGTTCTGATTTTTATCTCGTTACGGATCATCTTTACGTCTTACGCATCACGGCAATTAATAATATTCTTCATTGCAATTATCATTATTGTTTTGTGAAACATTCAAATTTCAGAATTGTTTTGAAAAAAATTTTGTATTGAACTACAACTAAAGGAAGCTCACTAAATCAGCAAAATATTTCAGACAAACAGTGGTCTTCAATGTTTTATTTTATTGGGATGTGTTTATTGCAGTTTCGGTTAAATTAACTTTAGAATATTCTTAATTTCCAAACGTAGTGTAGCAGGGTTATTTTTATTAAACTTTCATTTCTTATTTTTTTAACATTTCCCAGTTTATGGATTGAAAATATCCATTTTCCGTTTTCGTTTGTCTGTTTGTTAACGAATTTTTAGGCAAATACTCTTCGAAACTTTTTTTTATGTAATTTCAATCTGTTTTCATAGATTTTTTTTCTGTTCATCTTCACCAAAATCGCGTGATCTAAATGTAAAATTTTGCTTAGAATTTATATTGTGATTTCAAAACTTTTTCTGATTAGTATTTTTTAAATTTAATCTTCTTATTAAACCTGTGTAATGTTGAATTCCACTGTTATTAAAAATTAGTATGTAGGTATAAAGTTAATGTTGACTTTTATAGTATTTTTCGCTGTGTACACAAAAATTTCTTGTTGCAGTGGGTTCGTAAATGAAAATGAGGGAATTCGCTAAATTGTAGCAGAAGAAGAAGCCTAAAGGTTAGAATTTTGCATTAGTTTTAAATTGGGTGTTGTTTTTTTTACTTTTTTTTTGCCTTTTATGAAGGCTATTTTGCTCGGTAGGTAATTTCGTCTTAAGTTTTATTTTATCAAAATTTTGTTACGTCTTGTTACATATTTCGTAAGTATTTTTTTTTCAGTCTTTTCGTTATGTGTTATCAAATTTTTCCTACCTCTATTTCTAGAATGACATGTAGATTAAAATTTCAACATTCTAAGACTCGTTTTAGAATGTAATTTCCCAGAATTTTTCCATTATTGCTTTATCCGATTTTTGTTTCCACATACCTGCTGTGGGGTCCAAATTTTAACACATTTTTCTATCTTTAATTAAAATTCTTATTTCATAAATAAAATAAAAAGAAAATATAATAGCAAAAGATAATTCTTTTTTTTTTAGTTAATAACTCGCTTTTTCGAACACTTATAAAATTTGATTTTGCGCTTTTTTTTTAAAGAACCCCTATAAGTTAAAATAAAGATGTGTGTGTAGTGGTAAACTAAATGAAAAAAAGGTGCCAAGGATATGTTTTAAGTGAGTTTTTCCATTACAAAAATTTGTGATGATGTTATCAACATTTTTGCAAGGACATATCAATTTAGATAGATACAGTGCAATACGAATAATAACAGTACTGTGTTGCCAAGTTCTCGGGCAAATGGAGTTAGTCGTTCTTGATTTAATCAATAAAATAAATTGCCTCATATCGTGCTAACCAAAATTTATCTAATCATCTCCATCAACAATTAAATGACGTAAAGTCTTTTTTTTCGAAGTAACTCAAATTTACACTTTATAACAAAACATACTCCTATATATTTGTGCTTTATGAGTCTGCCTTGATTTTTATCACAGCTACTTTAAAAATTCTGGGTTACGTGCATAACGACTGCCAGTTGACGTGTGGATTTTTTAGAGAACTTGAGCTCTGCTCGCCTTAATTCGATCCCATCTTTGTCAAACTTTCTTTTCTAGCACACTGAATTTGTCTGAATATTTGTTTTCAGGTGCGAGGGAAGTCCTCTCTAAATGACTTTAGAACAATTTTTTATATGTATAGGACACCTTAAATAATTTTACATTATTATTCTTATTAGCCTGTTCCTAGACTGTAGGTATAAGTATAGTCTAATTTTGAAATTCCAATGCGACGTTGCCATGTTCGCCCAGTTTTCTTGAATTTTTTTTGGTAATGCAATGGTCCACAAAAAATCGCAAAAATAATATTTTTAAAATTTGTTATGCAATATTTTAATATGCAGAGTGTTTATTAATAAATTCTAAATATGTAGTTACAATTTTCAAATATCAATACTGCAGTTTTATTTTATAGAACACCTATATTTTATTCCTATTCCTGCATTGAAATGTAGCTGTGTATCTCAAAAAATAATAAATATAGAAAATACTTAACAAAATGGGACAAAACGAAAAAACAGATTGAGATGCAGTAACAATATCCATATGAAAAAAGATATTGATATTTGAAAATTTGTAACAATTTAAATTTTGTTTATCAGCACTATGTATATTCAAACTCAAGACAAAACGCAAATTTTATTTAGGTACCTCTCCACAAAATATTGTGACAGATTTGGAAAAAACCTTATTGCGATTTTTTGTGAATCCTTCCATTGTTAAAAAAATTCAAGAAAATTAGGATAACGTGGCAACGCCGCATCGAAATAAATTGTAATTATAAAACGTAATAAGAAGAGATTAAGCAGATCAGAACATACAAATAAGAATATGCCGTGTATTCCATTTAAAAATATTAATTTTATGTTACGTTTCAAAAACAGAACACTCTGTATAGTTGAAAATAATTTTAGAATATATATCTCCATAACCATTTTTTCTAGAACCTTTTGTTGCAAATTTTGGCGATATCCTGTTGTAGAATACGGCCGTGCATTTAATAGGTAGGAATTTAAGGTCATCAGCATAAAGCAAATAGTGCACTGAGGGAGTGTACAATGGCACTAATATAAATTATAATAAAGAACAATGGCCCTAATACAGATCCCTGAGGAACACCAGATTGCTGGATGAATTTAAAAGATTTAAAACCTCGATAGTGCACAAACTGAAATCTATTATTGAGATAGGAAGCAATAAATTATGAAATATGTATCTGTTTTTTCAATTTTTGGTATGATTTTTTAGCACCATTAAATTCGTTAAGAATATGCAAAAGAAAAATATCTAAAAACGGCAACGCGGGAGCTTATAGTATCATAATTTATAAAAATTAGGAAGCAAAAAGCTAAAAAACATTCAGTTTTCCTTTAAATAACTGTTACAAAAAATTGGAAATTTTTACATTTTGGGCGATAGTTGAAGTACTTTTTATGATAGGACCATTTTGGAAAAAGTTTGATTTCATGTTTTCTTGAGTTTCACAGTCGTATCCGAAAAACCTGATTTGGCGTTTCTGTCTGTTGACGTCTGTCTCTCAAAATATTGTTAAATAAATCTCGACTTCTCTGAATAAGAAAAAAAAAATGTTTTGGCCCACTGAATTTTACAGTTTGTTTTAAAGATTACGTGGCACTCTCCTTGAAAATATTTATAACTTTGTAACACATTTTCTTTTATTCACCTGAAAAGGCAACATCACTGCTTATTGTTAAACAAATGGAAATATAATTTAAAATCAACTTTGTAATTTTTCCAAGGAGCTGGGTTTGTTGGACTTCAGGGGCAAGTTTGTCTAAATTTTCTACGACCATTTTTCCTAAATATAAATTACAAGCACTATTAACTTTAGAGTAAATTATTTGCTCTTATAGTTAGTGAGTGCAAATAAGTGATGTATCTCCGACTTCGTCTGAATAAAATTTCCCAGAAACACGTAATTTTAAAATACTTTCCTTTCATTATTATACATTCCTTTTTCGATCGTCTTTTAGCTGACAGCCGAAGCAACGAAAACTTCGATAAAAACCATGTTTAAGATTGAAACGTGTTATAAAACACTCCTAATGATGTAAAATTTAGATAAAAGTGTTCGTCACGCCCTATCTTGTGTCGTTCATAAGTTACGCTGTCATGCGTGTAGGGGAGTGTGACTGAAAGCTTCAACATTAGCATGAATGAAGACTTATTATTACCGATAAAAAATCAACGCAAGTTACCGATAAACGCGAAATTTTTGCATGGATTGCAACTGATTTTGTGTAGTCCTTCCAATCCATTAAATCCGTTTTTGCGTCAGTAACGTCGAACTTCTCTGCATATATCCCTATTCCAGACCCCTCGGCGTCTTCAGTGGCTGCTTTGTAGCTTTCAGCCTGCATACAAGAATCAGGAACCGAAGCTAGTAGCCATGTACGGATGAAATCGTGCGGAAAACGTATGCCCTACGACCGACACGCGCCATATAATGACGTAATGATGTAGTGATACATGGACGTCACCCTCACTTAAACTTTATTCTAAACTTAAATAGACCATTTTTATTGATTCGAATTTTGGTGAACGTATTTGTGCACCATATTTTTACAACCTTTTATCAGTTAATTTTTATCATTTCTATAAGAAATGTAGTTTTGACATTATACAGGGTAGCTAGAAAGTATGGAAGTATGTCCCTAAAGGTATACTCAAGTTTTATTTTCTGCAATTTTTTCATTGAAATGCAGGGCTAATTTGTTTTTTTTTTTTTAAGTAGCACTAGTAGTCAAATGTTCCGTTTTTAAATAGTGATTTTTTTCTGAATTCATAAATGTAACGCATGCATTATTTTATTTTTTCCCAACATGATGAAATAGTCAAAATAAAGATATTGAAAGCAAATAAAGTTTCAAGTTTCAAAAAATTAGAGAAAATAGAGTTTGAGTATTTGTAAGAGATCTAACTAACCATTCCCAAGACATTCAATTCCTTCCGCACTTTTTAGCAACCCTGTATAAGAAAAATGGATACATTAATTTTGTTGTTAATGCTTGGTTGAAGTATCAAATCATTTGTCTGTGCTATAAATACTGAAAATGCTTTATAGAGCCATAACTGACGATGATTATGAGAAATAATAGAAAATATTGTGGGTTTTAGGCTATATTTTGTATAATAAATACATAACATTTATACATTTTTTTAAGATTGTGGCAGCCATTCTGTGGCTCCTTAACAAAATGGCTTTTTACACGTCTGACATTTAGGTATATGACTAGTACATCTATGATATTTTTTTGAACATATCGTCCGTCTAAATTCTATTTTCTCTATTTCAAGCTTACAACAGATAGGTACTTATCGACTAGATGTTACAATATACAGAACTATGTACAATTACGAAAATAACATTATGATTATAATCTAAGGAGTGGTTGTAAAATAATTTAAAAATAAATATGTTTTCATAAAATGAGAGGAACATAAGAGATTCATCATCTATGAAAATTACGATTGGATATTTGCAAATTAATTTTTATAGAAGATGAGTGGGGAATTATTTAAAACATCTTATCACAGTCGCCGCTATTGCGGTTTGTGTCTTTCTTTACACATCTCAAATTTACTAAATATATACATTAAAACATTGCACTGGAATTACACCACTATCAAGTTATACCTTAGAGGTAACATTAATCTCTTGGAATGCGACTAGAAACTTCTTCGCCAAACAAAAAAGAACGTTTCGTTTGAAATAAAACTGATATTTTACCAGTCTTCTACATTTTATCTATTGGCAAATCATAACGATGAGTATTTTCAACTAATCTTGTTTTTAAATACTGTTTCGTAACCCATCTCCCGAGTCAAAAAGGTCGCAAATATTATTAACTCACATACGAAATTGGTGACTGATTACATCGGCAATTTTCTGGTCCAGTCTGGCCCAGGCGATGAGCTTGTAGCAGGTCATGCATAGTGAGGATATGAGCCAAGAGGAGGAGCTCCTAGATGAGGACCCGCGTGGTGACCGATCGAATGCGTGCTGGCTGCGATGTTCGAATAAAGATTCGCACTAGGATTACTCCAGTATGAACCAGGAGACGGAAAAATTGAACCTGCAATAAAAAAGAACTTGCAATATTTTCATATATGTACATGTTTTCCTGCAATAATGATAATTAGACGAATCAGAATGTCACGGTAATTTGAAATCTGAAAATTTAGTAATAAAATATGTCAAATTTAGGAGATCTTTAAAACCCATCTGTAAAGAATTTCAAAGAGCGGAGTATATCTTCAACCTTGAGGTTAAGAATATCATTCTCTAATGTCGAATCGAAATTTACTTAACAAGGTCTTGAGATGATGTAATCAATTTGGAGTTAATAAATAGACACAATATGGTTATGAATTTCTCATCATCAAGATAGTTTTAAAGAGTGTTCAAAATTGTTAAGTAGGTAATTCAGTGATTTAGATTATTTTTCTTATAAAAAGAAAATAACCCTATTAGAGTACTTCTCTTAGCTCACAAGGAAGTGTCAAAAAACAGTAAAGAAAATGTCAAAATAGTCATTTTTGTATCTTTAGAACAGGAAAGTGAGCTCGAATCCCTCAAAAAACACATTTTATTTCTTACAATTTAGTAATGGAGTTATCTTTAGACCAAATAACTTAAAATAATAATTTTAAATTAATTAATTTTCAAATTGCATGGAACTAAGGAACGGGAATCAGTGTTAACAAAATTTAGATGAAAACAAAGTAGAACCATCAAATATTGCAAAAAGCAAATTGACAAAAAGGATATTCAAAAAAAGTAAAATAATTCAGAAGTCGCTGAAAAAACTATCTATAGTCTACGCCATTTCTATCTGTTCACTTCATAAGAAACAAGATTGATTACAATGCCCCGCTTGTTGAAGTTGAGTTGCTTGGTAAATGCCTGGGAAATTGTTAACGTGTTAAAATTTAACAAGGTGTTACAATAGGAATAATATTTAATCGCGGTGGAAGGTAATTTTGAACATTCACCAGATTTTAAGATTCTGTGATAGCTTTTTTTGCTGTAGCTTTTTGCTTTTTTTACTTAATACATATATTTTTCTCTGAGCAACACGTTCACTGAAGAACTGTTTCATATGGTAATTCTTGTAGAAAAAAAATGAGAGCATGATCAATTCTTTAAACAACAGCATGCTTAAAAACACGTTTCGGACGGTAAGTTCTTGTAGAGAAATAAGGATTTTGTAGTTAAGCTCCGCCTGTCCAGCTCACGACCAACAAAGAAAAATCGCCACAATTGAGAGGGGCTTATATTTTGCATTTTTTTTCCTTTTAATATGCAGTCTTCTCTTCACAACGAGAAACTGAATATATATATGTTTAAAATGGGACATTTGATTCCCCACATTTCTCTACAAATTTACCCTTTTAAACCTGTTTTCAATTTCTTGTCGTGAAAAGAAAACTACGTACATATATAAAAAAAGGTGAAATACTAACCCCGCCCACCTGCCCTCATCTCAATTGTGATAATTTTTTTATTCGTTGTGAGCCGAAGGGCGGAGTTTGATTGCAAAATGTTTATCTCTCTACAAGAAACCACCATATGAAACATTGAAAGGAAACTACGAGTTAAACAATAAGCCCCACCCAGCCGCCCCAATCTCAATTGTGATGAATTTTTCATTCGTTGTCAGACCGAGGGGCAGAGTTTAATTGTAAAATAGATCCTTTCCGACAAAAATTTACACATGTTTTAAATATCTTGTCCTGGAAAGAAGATTTTGTATATTCAGAAACGAAGGCAAAATTTAACTTCCCTTACGAAATTTTATTTATTAGGAGTACATGATTTGGATTTTTTTGGGAAATCTGGACAACTGTGGTAAAAACCATGAGTTTAAGATTGTTATTTTTTTTATAAAAACATTTACTCATGGAAGTGATGCTCATTGCCGTCCAATCCCCAGCGCTATTGCAGTCGTGGCTTACAACTTCGGGAATTCTTAATAACATTTACTACTTTTTCTCGGTTTTCTTCAGTTATACGAGTTCTCCTAGATGTTAAATTGATTTAAAAATTAAGAATGAGTGGTCAACATCAGAATTTTCGTGATGATCTTTATTAGATAAACCCTGATTTGCATCAAACGCCACTGAGGTTGTGACGTGGTTGAGACTGCACAGTCGGCCAGCCAAATTTATCGCCTTACTTCGCGCCGTCGTTTTTAATATTTGTCTAGTGGATTGCCCATCGCTTCCCCTGTGCCTAACTTTGATAATTACATAGAAAATTTGATAACAAAAGTCTATCCTGTAGTTTCGGATCACGAAAGATAGACAGACATACAGACAGATGCACAGACAGACGAAAACGGGAAACCTATTTTTTCGTAAAAGTATGAATTTCTTGAGAAAACATGAAAGTAGCCATTCACCGGATGGACTCTATTAGACTACTTTCTTAGGTTATGCTCGGGAAGTAAAAATCGTTCACAAAAATGGCCTAAAGTTATTTAGACAAAATTCCGCGTCCCTGAAGTATAGACGCACAAAATTTGGGTATTTAAGTTAAAAACTCAATACGGATTCATAAACCTCAAGTGCAGGAGTGGGTACGTTATTTTACAAAATTTTTACTATTTCAAGTTTGGAGATGATGCCATCCCATTGTTAGTGGGAATGATGAGACCGACGACAGACAGACAGACAGACGGACGGACTGAAACGGCTGCGTAAAACATATATAGATCCATATAACTCACTCTCATCTTTACTAATATTACATGACGTATTTCTGACATCGATTATGGCGTTTCACAAGGATCTATCACTGGGCCGTTATTTTTTTTCCTCTACATATATGACCTTATGAATTTTTTTGTCCAAAGCAGATGTAAACATTTACACAGATGACACTTGCATTAGTACTGCAGGAAATATTGTTGATTTTGCTTATAGTAGAAATAAAATTTTATAAATACATATTAAGTTTAAATAGAGGAAAAAACATTTCAATCATATTTCAATGTTCTTTACTGTAAGATCTTAAGCTGTCATTCATGTACATGGGAAAAATGTACTCAATACTTAGGAGGTTTTATGAATAATAGATTTTGTTGGATTAACCGTGGTAATTACAACGGGTGTTCAACTGAAAAGGTCATCAAGTTGGCGTTGCTTTTTTGATAGAAGAAAATGTAGTGTATATAAAATGTCTATGTTTTAGCAATCCATACTGTTGTGTATATTTGACATTTCCACGTTGTCAGCTGTCATCGTCTAAATTATAGGTTAACTGTATACACACTTCACAATGTTTGTATAAAATCAAGACCTACTTGATGATTTTGTCAAATGAACACCAGATATATCGGACAAAATTCCTTGAAATACTTTACTCTTAAAAAGAAATTTGGTAAAGCGAGTAATACCTTCCTTTACGTTGTTTGCTCATCGCCTACTAGGCCGTAATGCATGGTTTTCATGAAAACCACACTGTATATATGTAATGTATTTTAGTTTAGGAGCATTTATCTTCTTACGATTTAACCTGAGGCTTTGGTATATTTCTGTATTTTGACAAAACACCCATTACTTTCCGAGTGTAAGTTAAGGAAATATTGTAAAAGGATCCAACCGGCAACGACTACTTTCATGTTTTCTGGACGCCTCATGATCCCTAGAGTATGAAAAAATAAGTTTCCCGTTTCCGTGACAGGATTAAGACATATCATGTAGATTATAAAATGTTAAGCAAAATTTGCTAATCATCTCTACTAACAATGTAACAAAGTAGTCTTAAAATTTTGTATAGTAATGCTATTTAAATTTTATAAAATAACACACTCCTATATTTGTGGTTTATAAATTAGTCTTGACTGTTTACAGACATCCAGGTTTTGTCAAAAAATCAAAATTGTATAACATTTTATAATTTAACTTTGAAACTGCAAAATCGAAAACTCTGAAATCTGAGTTTTAAGGTTATCGCAAGCATGTTAAATTGTCAATCAAATTCATCTCAAAATTTTGTCAAATAAATCGTACTAAAATATGCAAAATATTCTAAGTCTGTACTTGTGGATTATCAATACATTAACATTTTTTTAAGATTGCTTAAACAGGGTGTAATAAAGTACTCTTACTATTGGTATTACATTGCACTTATGCAAATTGATATAGGTGTCCTTGCTAATATGTTGACGACGTCATTACATAATTTTGTAATGGAAAAACTCATTTCAAACATACGCATAGCATGTTTCTTTACCTTTACTTTAACATTGCATATATCTTTACTTTAACTTATTGGTGTTAAGACAAGGAGATCGCAAAATCCAATTTTATATTTTTGGAAAAAGTTGGATATGTACGATACTCAGTGGTTGGAAGAAATTCATTACTATAATACAGTTCCTTTTCAAGTAATGAGTAATTATAATGAATTACTTTTTTTGAGTAATTCAGTCATTGTTACAGTTACTTTTAGCCCAAATATTAAAAAATATTGGTTTGTTTTCCTCTACGAATCGTTTACTTAACTTGCTAGAATTATTATCCAAAAATCCATTGCGCTTTACAGCAATAAAATATCTTAACAAATAATTGAGTAAGCAGGGGCAGAATATACAAAATTTGTGGTCAAACAAACTTTAGCCATTTTTCAACAGGTAACCCATAGAACCCGTCCTTTTAAACCCCTCATAATCCGACAATAAAATTTGATGAGAGTGTCAACCCTCTAAGGTTTTCTAAATTTAATCTGTAAGTCACAACGCCAAGTAAGAGACACAATTAAAGACAGACTTTTAAGTTTACATTATCTTGTAGCCCCCTTCTAAGTATTTAGGAACATCATTAAAGATTAAGAAATTTGCTTCCGCAGGTAATTATCGGTGGACTAATGTTTACCATACATTTACACGTAGCCAATAAGATATTTTGAAATCTCCCACCAATGCAAATTTTTGATTAAAAGTTGTTGCAGTTGGCATCGAACTTTTATTTGTAGCTAGAGTGGAATGCAATTAGGTGTAAAAGAATTGGCTCTTCAATGTTTGGTAAAGTAGATAACATATTGCCCCACAACAATTCCGTCTAGCGCCGC